CCCCCCCCACTTCTCGTCGCGGCTGCGTTTTCCTCAAATCCCCGCACGGAAATCCCTCGCGCAAAACACGTTCTCCAGCTTCGGGGCGCCACTTTATCCCGGCGTATAAAAATAAAATCAGATGTTGGTTCATATCAATCAGCTTGATGTTGCCGCACGTAGAGACCACCGGGCTCATAAATCTTCAACTCGCGGCGAACATTCGCGCCGTCATAACGCGCTCGACGACTTCCTCGGAAGTATCAGCACGTACGCGGATTCATCCGTGTTTCTGCGATGCACGCGCGCGCGCGCGCGCGAGAGAGAGAGAGAGAAAGAGAGGATCTGTTACATATCTAAAGCCGTGGCTAAGCCTTTAGTGCTTAGGTACGAATTAGATGGCCGTCGCTTCGACATTCGAGACCCACCTATAAACCCAAAGTGTCTCGAACCGTTGGAGTCGTCTCGATAAAACGAGGCAGCTCCTCTCTCTCTCTCTCTCTCTTTGTATCTCATTCCCTCTCGTCACGGCGAGGGGGAGTCGAGGCTTTCCGGGGATTAACCTTACCCGCGACTCCGTGCAGTAATTTCCAATTCGACTGCCCGACCTGATCTCCGTGTTAATTAAACCCCTCCTCGCTCCTCGCGTTGTTGCTATCGATAGACAGGAGGGTTACGCAAAGCTGGAAAGTTTTTAATCGGATATGGTTGATTTCGAGCTGCTTTAGCCGACATGTATCGACGTGAGTGTATACGATCGGTATTCTCGAATGTCGCGATTTACCGATGTATCTTATTACTCTCCGAGCTCTTTCGTAACCTTTTTTCTCAAACGGCCGGACAAGCGCGCGTTTGTCAGTCCGTTTCGAACGTGAGATTTCACGCTCATCAGCTGTAACGCGGGAAAAGGGAGTTCATCCGCGGGCGCATTCGCGCGCGTTAATCTGTGACGCTAAGTGATGCCGTCGCGTATTCGAAATTGGAAAATTTCCCACGGCGGTTAATTTGTTATCTACTTAGTAGTCAGATCGCCTCTGCCGACCATTGTTATCCATTCCCTTTCCGAACACGGTCTTAGTCACCGTGCGCTGAGTGCGAGCGGAAAGAGAATGTTTAATTAGCACTAGATGCTTAACCGCGACCGTATCCGATATGTTAGTGTAACCGCTCGGTCAGCAGCGATGTAACGCGAGACTGTGTTCAAAGACGAAAAGGCACTAGCCGACTACGGATCGAATTGTTCAGAGCCGGCTGAATTCCTCGCGCGCGTACTTCAGACTAAACCTTTAATCGCGCGCGAAAGTGCGGGAATATCAGCGTCACAAATCGTTAATGGAAATTGATCGTTAATTAATAATTTCAGAGCGCGACATACGAACGCGTACGTACGTTACATGTTCCGAAACGTTTATTTCACAGTCCACTTTCGAGAGGAATAACGGCATTCACATATATATATATATACATATTTATTTATTATTATCAGCGTGCGTTAATGTCCACGATACATATTCTCCGTCGACCCGTTAAGTTCGCATTACTCCGTTACAATTAAGCGTCGCGTCGCACGAATAAATTCCGCGCCCGTTACTACAGGGCGCGCCGGCGTTACACAGTAACCGTAGAAATTTCCGGTGGAAACGATCCCTCCGGACGTTAGGTCGCGCCATCGCGCACCACCACCGTAAAACCATTCAATTATCTCCGACTAATTTTCCTCGTACGACTTTTGATATGGCTTTATGCTCGGTGATTGTATTAAGATGTACAATAAGGCTGGAGCTCTTAAGAGATAAAAACGACCGTTTTGCGTCCTCTTACGCTTTCTCTCCCTCTGTCCTGCGTACCTTACTTTAACTGCGCCCCTTTGTTTCGTTTTCGTCCATTTAGCGTCTCCCCTGCTACCGGCCACCGGCCCTTCGTGCGTTTCTACGCACTAATTCCCCCCCTTCGGTTACTTTATCCGAAACATTACCGGGACAAGTTTCTAATAATTCCTACGATTTAATCTTACACGATTAATTTTCTCCACCGGCTCGGGATAGACAGCTCTCTCCGGTCGTTCGCTTTATTACTCGTGTTTCTACCCTTTCTACTTTTTCTTCTTCTCTTTTCTTTCCTTTTCTTTTTGCAAGAGAGGCTCGCAGTCAAGCGAGTGGATTTCTATTCTTTCGCGTTGTTACATTCCGCCGTGCTTTTATCCACGAATTCTGCCCGCTGCCTTTTTTTCTACAGCATTTCTGCTACGTCACGTTACCTTATCCTTTGTCCTGCATTCCGCATTTAGCGCCAAATGCGGCCTGCTCCGACCCCGGCAGTTTTATTTCGTGTAATACAAAAATTGCGTTCAGAGGTTGAAAGTCAGACAGCTCGCTGTTTAACACTAAAAATGGAATGCATGCGTTTCCGCTCATCTTCTTCATTCCTCATTCTTTATCACTTGCCCCTGCCCTTCCTCTCTCTCTCTCTTTCTCTTTCTCTCTCACCTCCTCGGCCTCTCGACCGTTTTTTGACCTTTGTGTTCCACGCTTCAGTTTCGTTCTTCGACACTGCTGCCCCTCGGTTCTTTGATATGTCACTCGAGTTCTCGCTGCCATTTTCTTCCCCGTCGGCGCATCCTCAATTTTTCATCTCTCGATCGAGCGCTTTTTCGTTTCCTCACATTTGCGCCTCTCTCAGCCGTCATTCTCTTCTTTATTCCCCATTTCTACACTCACCTTCTTCCTTCGTTTCTTCATTCGATTCTATAGTCGGATAAACTACTCACACACAATTTCACAATTGCGGCTCGTTCATCCCTTTTGTACGCCTTTCCATCTGCTTAGTAGCAAAATCTGCTGTGAGCAACGGAGTAGATAGGGAACTGATATCGTCTATCGACTAACTTTTATTCCTTCTTGCAACGTGCCGAGTCCAAAAATACGGTGTTCGTATCATCATTGTATCATCGTATCATCATTGACTCTCTTTCAACCGCCGCGAATGTGACACTTTAAAATGTCACGAGACGAATGTTTAAATATTCCAAATACTTTACGATAAATGCAACAAATACGTTTCTGCTGCGAATAAAAGTAACTGATATGCCGTAACGACGTGTTCTCTTTCTCATGATGTTGCGTACGTCATGCACTCGAACGGCTCGTAATATCACAATCAAAAGATTGGATCGCGTTATAACGAAGATAATAATTAAAATACGTTATAAAGAAGATAATAATTGACAGGATAACAGATATGACTGGCACAAACATATCGTTATTCGATACGCATCATTGTCAATTTAAATTCTGCTCGCACGAACCATCCAAGAACTTGTTGTGCTTCTACTTTACACAGCAGAAAAAAAAATATATATATATATAATATTTGACGTATAAATTGTGTTCCTTATATTTATATTCTATTATTTACATTACATTCACAGGTTATTTATATTATTTATATTATATTTATATTGTATTATATTTACGTAATTTAATTATATTTGATATAATTTACATTTCCACTTATAACAACGAATATATTCGTTCTCGCACAAAAATCTTATCACTACCTCCTGTACGGCGAATAATTAGTGCGACTAACCTGTTTGCGAAGTAGTCGCATTAACGTGCAGTAGACCGAGGAGAGACTCGTTGTTTCCTTAAATATTGACATTCAAACAATCACCACGAAATGCGTGCGATAAACCGTGCAAAATTATATGCGAGAGCGCGGTCGGGCCGGCGCGTCCGTACGCGAGAGGGCGGAAAGCGCTGCTTTAAATTGATTTACAGTCATACAATCAAAAATGCAAATGGGTAATCAAGCGCG